TGTTTTGGGGCACGTGGCTAAGTTGGTTAAGTGTACGATTCTTGGGCTCAGCTCAGGTCTTGATATCAGGGTTATGAGTTCAAGCCTTGGACTGGGCTCCACATTGGGCATGGGGCCTTCTTAAAAAAAAAAAAAGGAAGATGATGACCATGATGTTTTTAATACTAAAAATTTAAGTAAATTTTTAACCTAAAATTGGTGGTCTGCCTTAGCTTGGCACTGTGGACGCTGGCAGTCTGAGGACCGCTGCCTGGGTGGCATGCAGTCTTGAATAGACAGGATACCCAGATCCTAAAGCATTTCACAAAGGACACATTGGAAGAAGCATGTGAGGCCTTGAGTACTCTGGGGTCGGAGAGTGCCGTAAGAGTAGTTCCTGGTGTAGGCTGCAGTGGGGACCAGAGACATCAGCGTGGAGGGTCTCTTGCATTGGAATGACTAGCTACGGTTTGAGAAAATACTGGTTGATCTACTGCCCAGAGACACAGCCCTACAAAAATCGCTACTGCATGTGATGCAGAAGTACACCCTGAGGGCCCCCCACTGCCCTGCTGTGTGAAATTCCTAGTGTGGCACCCACTGCAGGGACCCCAACAGCCTGGGTTTGAATCTCATTTCTGTGACTGACCAACTCTCTGGTTTTGGGCAAATTGGGAACTAACTCTCAAACTGTCAGTTTCCTAATTTGTAAAATGAGCATAATGATAGTATCTGCTCCACATGACTGCCAGGATGGGATGAGGAAATGTCAGAAGAGCATTTAAACACTGTTCCTAGGGGATCCCTGGGTGGCGCAGCGGTTTGGCGCCTGCCTTTGGCCCAGGGCGTGATCCTGGAGACCCGGGATCGAATCCCACATCAGGCTCCCGGTGCATGGAGCCTGCTTCTCCCTCTGCCTATGTCTCTGCCTCTCTCTCTTTCTCTCTCTGTGACTATCATAAATAAATAAAAATTAAAAAAAATAAACACTGTTCCTAATGGGAGACTCCTAACTCTGGGAGACAGGCTGGGGGTGGGGGTGGCTGGGTGGTAGGCACTGGGGGGGGTGCTTGATGGGATGAGCACTGGGTGTTATTCTATATGTTGGCAAATTGAACACCAATAAAAAATAAATTTATATAAAATAAAATAAACACCGTTCTTGGCCCACATGCCAACAAGTGTGAACTGTGATCATCACTCACTTACCTCCCTCTGGGCTCTGCTTTAGAAAGACAGACCTTTTCCTAAGTCATCAGTATACTCCTTCTGATTCTCTTTTTCTCTGTTCTTTTAAAAAAATTTTAAAATTCATTTTTTATTTTTTCTCTTTTCTTTCCCTTCTAGAACTCTTAGATTCAATATTTGCAGCCCACTTGTCATAACTGAACAACCTCATATGCTAGACATTTCCATGTGTTCATCTTATTGCTGGCTCTATCAACTATTTTCCTTGTCTTCTTCATTGCTTATCTTGGTCACTTATTCCATCTTCTGTTCGGTGTATTTTTATCAGCTGGTTCTTCTTCTTTTTTTTTTTTAAGATTTTATTTATTTATTCACGAGAGACACAGACACACACACACACACACACACACACACACACACACACACACAGGCAGAGGGAGAAGCAGGCTCCATGCAGGGAGCCCGACGTGGGACTCGATCCCAGGTCTCCAGGATCACACCTGGGCTGAAGGCGGCGCTAAACTGCTGAGCCACCCGGGCTGCCCTATCAGCTGTTTTTTACCTTTTTTTATTTTTTATGGTGCGAGAGAAGGAGTAAATAACTCGCTAAATAAGTAAGCAATCTGTGACTGAGGCCAAGGGAAGAGAGGCCAGGGGGTAGACAGGAGAGGACTCTGATGAATGAGCTCTGTCGAAGGAACAAGCTGAGAAACAACCCACTGGGCCTCTTCAAAATCATTGCTGTTCTATGCCTTCCTCGGTATCTATTGGGTATGCTACCATTGTTTGTTTCCCTGTAATAACGGGCCATCAAATACTTAAAAATCGAAAAGGGGCAAGCTGTCTATATGCTTTGGTGGCAGGGTTGGGTGTGAAAATGGGGCATCTTTCTTCCCACTGTAAACCCAGAAGCCCAGAAGTCAGCCAGGTTTCCTTCTAGGACTCAGTGGCCCCTGTCCACTGGTGCTTGTGTTTCTGCAGCAGACAAAGCCTTTCCTGGGAAGAGGTAGTGCTTTCCTGGCCAACAGGATACTGACTGCTGACAGGCACACAGTGTGCACCAAACACGCCACTCTTCCACTCAGGGTCAGACAGATGAGTCACCTCCACCAACCCCAGGGGGACCCAGGGCCTTGGATCTTTCCAGCGTGAATGCAGAATGGCATGGCCTGGGCTTTGTGATAGGGATGACTGCAAGGGCTTTTTTCTGAGATCTAACTAAGGCCTTAGTGACTGATAACTCCCCTAATAACAACTGGGGAGGAAGCTGCTAACCAGAGATAAAGATGACAGAGTTTCTGGTCTTTTCAAAGAAAAAGTCCCTTTGGAGACAATATCAGACCTTGAAAACTTAGATGTCCCAAAAGTACACATTAGCACTATTCCCCCTAAACTCTTGGCTTGCCTGTCAGGAAGGTTTTGCAAAGAAACAATAACCTATGTATTTGTGCCACTCGTCACCATTTTCCCTCAAATTTGATGCTGCCATCTCTTGGCTTCTGGTGTGGCAGGGGCCATGAGCTTTGGCTCGGCCTCAGAGGCAAACCTGGCCATTAGAAGAACAGAGAGACAGGACACTCTAGGGATGGAATGTATACACGATGGTTCTGGAAGCACAAACGCAAGCCCTTGTAGCAGCACTGCCCCCAGCCAGGGACCTCCTCAGAGAAAGTGGGCTGCATACTGTGGACACTCTCTCTCAGAATGCTGATTTCCTAGGCCTCCGGCAAGGTCCATCATTAATTATAAGAAGCTTTTTTATTTATTCTCCTTCTTTATCTTTTTTCTCTAATTTAATAGGAAAAACACACTATTATACAAAAAGTCAGATTTAGACATTAAAACCATGAGTGGCATATTGCTAAGTGAATTTTAAAAAATCCCCAAATCATAGGTGAACCCAATTTTTATAGTAACAAAAACATCCATAAGAAAGGATGTGAAAGGATTCATGCCGAGGAGAGAAGAGTCTCCTTTGGAGAAGGGAGTGGATTCGGGGTAGGAGTTACAAAGAAGGGGAACTTCTGTTTTTTACTCTGAAGTTCTGGAATTCAGGGGGAAGAGTACATAGTAATTTAAATTCTTTAAAATAAGAACTTAAAGCAACTTTCAAATTAGTTGTGTTCAAAGCAACATTCGTTTCCCACAACGTGGCAAGCTCATTGCCTGTCGGCTGTCACTTGGAGAATTCCCTTCTCCCTCAGCACTGAGCTTAGTAGTTACCTCCCCCAGAAAGCTTCTCTGTCTCTTCCCTGCTCCAGAATTCCCCCAAGTCCACAGTGCACAGGCTCCATGTTTGTTGCCTGACGCAGTCACCAGGCTGAGATCCTTGAGGGCAGGGAGCCTGACACTGAGCTATCTGGCCCCAGTAGAGCCAGGAAAAGTGAGTAAAGCAGGAAATATTTCCTTTTCACAGGGGCAAATGACTCTTGCCTGATACAAAATGGGCACCCCATCTTTATAGAATACTTCTTAAAAGTGCTCAGAATAAATATCCCCTGACCTAAGTTATGCTGTGGGGATTCGGGGCAGTATTACCATCATATCTGGGTAAAATGCCAACGGCCATGAAGAAATTTTTTTATAGTACATGAGATGTTTTAAAAATTTTTTAAAGATTTTATTTATTTATTCATGAGAGACACAGGGGGAGAGAGAGGCAGAGACACAGGCAGAGGGAGGAGCAGGCTCCGTGCAGGGAACCCGATGCGTGACTCAATCCTGGGTCTCTAGGATCACGTCCTGGGCTGAAGGCGGCGCTAAACCACTGAGCCACCGGGGCTACCCTAACTTTTTTTTTTTTTTTAATTTTTGAGAATGTTTTTAATTTTAAGTTTTCCTCCCATAAATTTTCTAAAACCATTGGCATTCTTTTTCCTACTCCAGAATCTAGTAATTGGCACAAAACATAGCCTCAAATTCTGTATTATAGTATTTTAAACTTGAAATACAATATGATATGATTTCAGGGTCCTGCCAATTATTTAAGATAAATAAGATCCATCTGGTCTCAAAATTTCTGGTCAATTCAACAAATTGAAAATCACTTGATTTAGACATTTGGCATCGTTGTGCTTGTTCATTTTTCATTCATTCATCCATTCATTATGGGGTCGGAAGCCTCCTGCCATAAGAGGGTTGGTAAAGTGGCCAAGGAGAGAAGACAGTAATAAGCAAAAAAGAGAAGGTCAGAAGTGCTGACTGGTGGTTGGAGAGTACATGGACCAACCCAAAAAAGACAGGCTAGCCTTTAGACCAAAATGGTGTTACAGTTGTCCAGGAAAACTAGGGAAAAAGAAGTATACAAATATTGTAATCGGGAGGGGGGCCCAGTAGAGATGGGGCAGGCTAGGTCTTACGTGGGAGGTAGGAAAGGAAAGGGGATAACTTAAGTATGGAAAATTTTCCTTGGATAATAGCCATTTCATGTAGGCAGTAAAAATAAATCCGTGGTATTTTTGAAGAATAAAGGTATAAGCCACAGGATGGAATGGACAGTGGAATCCTGGCATCAGTGGTCCCTAGGTCACGCTGGAGGAAAGGCAGCCTGTAGCCTGGGGCAGTGACTCAGGCAGGAGGGATGTGGCACAGGTTGCCTGCAGCTGTGATTGGGAGAACAGGATGAGACACTGCAGAGGACATCCTGGAACAGCCTGGGGACTTTCCATGCAGGAACACATGTGGAAACCCAGAGCCTGAGAGAATTCTGGCCTGCATGCCAGGCAGAGTCCTTGAGTGTGAGCAAGGGCAGATGAGTGGAAATCCTAACCCTGCACCACCACAGCACAGCGGAGATTGGTAAGGAAGCATGGCTGACATCTAGTGCACTCTACAGACCTGGCTAGCTCCTGCCTTCCAGAGCCCTGCCTTCCATGAGCTGTGCTGAACCCTTTCCCCCTTGGGGAACCTGGGTGCCCCATGCTCTGCAGCTTCCAACCCACGGATTCAAACCTCAGGTACCTTTCTCCTACCAGACCGATCTGTGCCATATCTGTAATGTCTGTGCCTTGATTTACTTAGGATGCTCCTTTAAATGGACTTGCATTTTAAATATAGCCTCTTCCTGCTAAGGAAATAGCCACATTCATAAATTACTCTCACCTGAACCAGTCCCCCTCCCCCTGCTCCATCCCTCAACCCCACCCACCCCCAGTCACTGGGCTTCTCTGCACAGTCAAAACCCTTCCTGGGCATCCAGGTGGCGCTGGGACACAGGACACCTTCTCCCACCTTGGCAGCAATCTTGTCACTCAGCAGAGTAAATCACTGGGGCTTCTTGGGAGGCACAGGTGCCTGCCTTGTTAGGTTTCTCTGCTTTTTAAATTCTGTCATGGAGTTTGGAGCTCAGGCCCCCTCTCCCTACAGCCTCTCCTACACATACCAGGGAGCTTGGAGTTCTGGCCTAGATTTCAGGGAGCTCCCTGCTTCCCCAGCAAGGTAAAGCATTATCCTTATTAGCACCCACAGTGGTGAGTCATGTTGATAACAGACACTCCTGATGAGACATAATGAGAATAGTACTTTACCTCTGTGGTCTTCCTTCCAAAATCCAATAAGCTCAGTCCGGTTAGGAGAAAAATCTCCAACAAATCCCAGTTGAGTGACATTCTGCAAAAGAATTTACCAGTGCTCTTCAAAACTGTCAGGGTCATCAAAAACAGGAAAGCCTGTGGAATCATTACAGCCAAGAGGAACGTAAGGAGACATGATGACTAAATGTAATATGGCATCTGAAATGGGATCCTAGAACAGAAAAGGGACATTAAGTAAAGACTAAGGAAATCTGAAGAACGTATGGGCTTTAATTAATAGTAATGTATCAGTATTGGTTCATTAATTCTAGGAAATATACCATATTAATATAAGAAGTTAATAATCAAATGAGCAGCGTGTGTATGGGATTATATGGCAATTCTTTATCTTTGCAATTTTCCTGTAAATCTAAAACTGTTCTAGAATTGAAAGTTTATTAAAAAAATAATAACTTTTTAAAAACACCATCCTAGGGGTGTCTAAGTGGCTCAGTTGGTTGAGTGTTTGACTCTTGAGTTTTGGCTCAGGTCATGATCTCAGGGATGTGGGACTGTACCCTGCGTGGGGCTCTGTACTCAGCAGAGGTCTATTTCTCTCCCTTTCTCTTCCTCTCTCTCTGCCTCTCCCCTGCATTCTGTGTGCTCTCTCTCTCTCTCTCAAATAAGTAATCTTAAAAAAAAAAGTAAAAAAAAACTAAAAACTTTAAAAACTTTAAAAACTTAAAAACTTTATTTTTATTTATTTTATTTTTTATTTTTATTTTTTTAAAAAACTTAAAAACTTTAAACTTTAAAAACTTTAAAAAAAACTAAAAAAGTTTTAGTCATCCTAAAACCCCCAGTGGGATAGTAACTGCTGGATCACGTCAACGAAGAAAATTTTATCATGGATCCAAAATGCCACCTTTCAAATTACAGGCATGATTGAGTATCAGCTGCTTACTAAATGAAACTTATCCATTTTAGCCTCCTTTACTGCTGTTCTAAATATCTATTATACAGTCCACAGTCCGTTCACTTTAAAAAATTCTGGTTTGGGGGTGCCTGGATGGCAGAGTCAGTTGAATGTCTTGCTATTTTTTGGCTTAGGTTGTGATCTCAGTGTCGTGATGTTGAGCCCTAAGATAGGCTCTGTGCTCAGCTCAGAGTTTACTTAAAACTCTCTCTCTGCCCCTCCCTCCCACTCTCTCTCCTTCTCAAATAAAGAAATAAATCTTTTTAAAAAATCTGGTTCTATCTGTTTCTTTCTTTCTTTCTTTCTTTCTTTCTTTCTTTCTTTCTTTCTTTCTTTCCTTCCTTCTTTCTTTCTTTCTTTTTTTTTTTTTTTTTAAAGGGAGAAGAGGGAGAAGCAGGCTCCATGCAGGGAGCCTGACATGGGACTCGGTCCCAGGTCTCCAGGATTAAGTCCTGGGCTGAAGGCAGCACTAAACTGCTGAGCCAACTGGGCTGCTCTGGTTCTATCTCTTTCTTTCTTTCTTTCTTTCTTTCTTTCTTTCTTTCTTTCTTTCTTTCTTTCTTTCTTTCTTTCTTCTTTCTTCTTCCCTTCCTTCCCTCCTTCCCTCCTTCCTTCCTTCCTTCCTTCCTTCCTTCCTTCCTTCCTTCCTTTTCTTTCTTCCTTCCTTCCTTTCTTTCTTTTTTTAAAGATTTATTTATTCATGAGAGACACAGAGAGAAAGGCAGAGACACAGGCAGAAGGAGAAGTAGGCTCCACGCAGGGAGCCCGATGTGGGACCCAATCCCGGATCCTGGGATCACGCCCTGAGCCTGAGCCGAAGGCTGATGCTCAACTGCTGAGCCACCCAGGTGTCCCGTTCTGTTTCTAATTCAAAAAGTAATATGTTATTTGGTATGACTTGAAAAAAAGAAATTATTGTCAAAACTTTCTCCGTTTAAGAAACTGTATTATTTGCAGAACTTCCCTTAAAAGCACTTTTGGAAATGACTCAGAACGGGCTCCACCACATTCTACCTTGTAGGAATTGTAAGATAATGAGGCAGTAATCTCCAGTAATAGCTAGATGTGACAAAACTCAAATAAGCAGATTCCTCTTCTTATTGTGCATATGCAAAGTCTGGCCCATTGTCTCCTGGGGTAATTTGTGAGGTTATAAATATATGTTACTCTGACTGTATCCATGCTGTGTTTCCTGCACTGTGGTTTATTGGGGAACGTTAGGATTTGAGAAGGGGAGTGATATTATCAAGGGGAAGTGGGGAGAAGCTTTCTTGTCCTTAGAGATATCTCAAATGGTGGTGCCTTGATTTGCCTCTTTGGCATGTAACACATCATTCTACCATCATGGAATCAACTTACGGAAGACTTATGGTTGAAAGGAAAATAAACAGGCTAGCCAAATGACTTTGAAACACTGAAAGTATGCACCCCGAGCCCTGGCACGCATACCTGCCCCACCACTGAAATACTAACACTTCACCATTGTGTTTTGCCAATTGTTGCTCCAGCTCTCTTGCCTCCTGGGCTTCTTCACACCTCAGTCCTGTCTTTTTTCTTTTCTTTTCTTTTTCTTTTTTTTTTTTTTTACCGTTTGTCAGCCTCTTCCTGGCTTCCTTTCCTTCCCTGTCCAGCACATCCCTTCACCTGTGTAGGAATCAGGACAGAAACCAGGCGGACTATCGGCATGACTTTTAATGAGCCCTCTGGATACCCCATCCCTTGCAAATGCTCCTCATAGTTTGTCTCATTTAGTTAGCAATGGCTTTGGTATTTCAAAATGAAACAAGGATTAGAAAGCTCAAAACAAACAGTCAATCAAAAAGCTGCAGAGCAGCTACCAATTGAATATTAAAAAGAAAGTTGAGAATGGCTGGAATCAAAAAAGACAATAAATAACAAGGGTGGGCAAGGATGTGGAGAAAAAGGAACCCTCAAACACTGCCGGTGAGAATGTAAATTGGTGCAGCCACTGTGGAAAACAATATGGAGGTTCCCCAAAAATTAAAAATAGAAACATCCCCAGGGCTCCCAGCATGGAGCCTGCTTCTCCCTCCTCCTGTGTCTCTGCCTCTCTCTCTCTATGTCTATCATAAATAAATAAAATAAATAAATCTTAAAAAAATAGAAACATCATACAATCTAGTAAGTCCACTACTGGGTATTTACCCAAAGAAAACAAATACACTAATTTGATAAAATATTTGCACCCTATGTTTACTATTGCAGCATTATTTATAATAGCCAAGATATGGAAGGTACCCAAGTGTCCATCAATAGATGAATGGGTAAAGAAGATGTAATATATATATATACAGCATAGGGAATGTAGTCAATGGTATTGTAATAGCGTTGTATGGTGACAGATGGTAGCTACACTGGTGGTGAGCACAGCATAATGTATAGAGATGTTGGATCGCTATGTTGTACCCTTGAAACTAATGTTAGACAGGAAAGCTCTTGAACGGGTTAGGGCCAGACATGTCCTTTACAAATTGTCAGTCTGTCAATCTAAGTAAGAAAAGATGGGTAGGAATTGACACAGTCTTGTAACATGGTCCAAGCCTTTGGAAGAGGAGGTTGAGATGCCAGTAAGAGTTCCTGGAGCCTGCAGCTGTATGATCATCAGGTCTCTGCATTCTTTTCATTCTCTGAGTGGTATCTTTTGATGAGCTGAGTTTTAGTTTTTTTACAAAGATTTTATTTATTTATTTATTTATTTATTTATTTATTTATTTATTTATTTGAGAGAGCAAGCATAAGCAGGGGGAACAGAAGAGGGAGAGGGAGAAGAAGGTTCTCTGCTCAGCAGGGAGCCCAATGTGGGACTTCATCCTAGGACCCTGAGATCATAACCTGAGCCAAAGGTAGGTGCTTAACTGATTGAGCCACTGAGGCACCCTTGAGTCTTAATTTTGATGCCCTTCTTTGATCACTATTTTTCTTGTACAGTTAGTATTTTTGTATTCTTTTTTTTTTTAATTTTTATTTATTTATTTACAATAGTCATACAGAGAGAGAGAGAGAGAGAGAGGGGCAGAGACACAGGCAGAGGGAGAAGCAGGCTCCATGCACCGGGAGCCCGACGTGGGATTCGATCCCGGGTCTCCAGGATCGCGCCCTGGGCCAAAGGCAGGCGCCAAACCGCTGCGCCACCCAGGGATCCCAGTATTTTTGTATTCTAAGAAATCTTTGATGACCTCAAGGTCATGAGGATATTTTCCTATGCTGTTTTTTTTTTTTTTTTTACAATTTTATTTATTTATTCATGAGAGACACAGAAAGAGGCAGAGACATAGGTAGAAGGAGAAGCGGGCTCCTCATGGGGAGCTTGATGTGGGACTCGATCCCTGGACTCCAGGATCATGCCCTGAGCCAAAAGCAGACACGCAACCACTGAGCCACCCAGGCATCCCTCTATGCTCTCTTTTAAAATCATTAGTCCCCCCCCCCTTTTTTCCCCCTTTTCTAT